AAGGATGTTAGCAGTAAAGAACACACTCTTTTGTGTGCGAGATGGAGTTTCACTCTTGTTGCCCAGGCTGGACTGCAATGGCACAATCTCAGCTCACCGCAACCTCCACACCCTGGTTGAAGCAATTCTCCTGGCTCAGCCTCCCAAGTAGCTGGGATTACAGGCATGCGCTACCATGCCTGGCTAATTTTGTATTTTTAGTAGAGTCGGGGTTTCTTCATGCTGGTCAGTCTAGTCCTGAACTCCTGACCTCAGGTGATCCAATTTTTTATTTTTATTTTGAGACAGTCTCTCCCTCTGTCACCCAGGCTGGAGTGCAGTGGTGTGACCTCTGTTCACCATAATCTCTGCCTCCTGGATTCAAGCGATTCTTCTGCCTCAGCCTCCTGAGTAGTGGGGACTACAGGCACATGCCAACACGCCTGGCCAATTTTTGTTTTCAGTAGAGATGGGGTTTCGCCATGTTGGCCAGGTTGGTCTCAAACTCCTGGCCTCAAGTGATCTGCCCACCTCAGCCTCCCAAAGTTCTGGGATTATAGGCATGAGCTACCACCTGGCCTGGACACACTTTAAAAGTAAAAAGAATTTGCTGGTATTTGGGATATGGGTGAATGAAACAGAGGAATCAAGGGCAACCCAAAGAATCCTGGCTTGAGCAGAGAGTTTCCAATGACTGGGATAGAGTTAACTTTAGAAAGAGAAGAGCAAAGGCAGAGTAAGGGCAGAAGCTTAGATCTTAGACAGCTGAAGTTTGAGATGTCTGCTGGACATTCATGTAAAGATATTGAGGAGGCACTTTGATATTTGGGTCTGAGTTCAAGAGCTGGTAATCTGGGATGAAATATAAATTTGGGACAATCTTCAGTATAAAAAGGTATTTGAAGACAAGAGACTAAATGAGATCCCCTAAAACATCCATGTAAGTAAAGAGAAATAGTCTGAGGACTGAACCCAAGGACACTTTAATATTCAGAAGTCAGGAAGATAAGGAAGAACAAAGACAACTGAGGAGATGGCAAGAGAGCTAGAAGAACCAAGGAAGCTGATGACCTGGAAATCAAATGAAAAGTAGTATTTCATTTCAGAAAAAGTAGCAACAGCAAATGTTGCTGAGGATATAGGGAAACAGGAATTTTCACACACTGCTGGTGGGAGCGTAAACTGCTATGTGCGACCATTTACTAGGTTGTTTATGTATACCTTAGGAGGCACGCAGAAGAATGCTCATGGCAACATGGTAAGTAGTTATCAAAAACTAAAGAACCTAAATATCCTTCAAAAGTAGAATGAGCAAACTAGTTTATTCATAATGGGTACTATATACCTATTAAAATGAACTATAGCCATGTGCAACAACATAAATTAATCCCAAAGAATGCTGAACAGAAAGAAGCCAGTCACAAAAGATTAAACTTAGTACCCATTTCTAGAAAGTTCCAGGCAAACGCAAATTATTTAGGAAAGTATATACAGGTGGGAAATTAGTCAAGAAAATCTAGGAAATGATTATCAGAAAGTCAGAAATGGTACTTCTTGGTACAGGAAGGCAATGAGAAAGATAAATGATGGCTTCTGAGGCACTGATAAAGTTGTTTCTTAAACATGGCACTGATTTTATGGGTGTGTAAAAAATATTATTTTTTAAACTGTGTATTTTTTGTACTCTTCTATATATGTTCTACATCTCATTATAAAATAAATATGGGAGAGAAAAGCGTTCCTCTGTGTCAAATGTTGCTGAAAAGCTGGCTCAGATGAGGATTGAAAACTGACCAGTGAATGCAGTAATGTGAAGGTCACAAGAGATACTTCAGGCAACTGGTGAGGAAGAAAACCTGATTAGAACAGGTTCAACAAGAATTAAAAGGAAATGGAGAAAAGATAAAAAAGGCTGCTCTTTCCCAAAGTACTGCTTATAAAGCAGAGTAGAGAAATATAACTGTTGCAGGACCTATAAAATCAAGGGAGAGTTTGTTTTGGCTTTGTCTTTCAGATGGGAGATACTACAGCAGGTTTTTATGTTGATGAAAAGCATTCAGTAGACAGGGAGGAACTGACGCTGGTGAGAGAAGAGGTAATTGCTAGACTAATGTCCAGTGTTAGGCAAGAGGGGATATGATATAGTGGGTAAGTAAAAGGTCAGTCTTAAGAGGCGAGGCAGTTTCTACATAGGCAAGGGAGGGAAAAGCAAAGAATAGGAGTTGATGCAGTGGGGCTTGGAGACAGTGGTGAGTACATGTAGAAATTATCTAATTAATAATTATCTGAGAAAAGAGAAGCAAACAAGTTCATCAGGTGAGTAAACAGAGAATGAAGTGTGAAATGTAAGAAAATGTGAAACAGTTATACAGGAAAACTGGAGAAGTCTCGAACTTACAGGATCGCCAGGCAACACAAATAGTCCCCATTATATTAGTATCACAGACTTAAAGGAAGAATGCTCAAGATGGCTGTCCCTTTTTTTTCTCTCCAGCCATGTTCAGCAATCCAGTACAGACATAGAGAAGGTAGAGAGACAGATTTCCACTAGTTAGAATTTTGCCAGAAACAGAGAATCAAGGAAGTGAAGGTATATGCTAGGGAGTAATAACCAAGGATCATGTAGTACGAGCAGGGTAATGACAGAAGAGAGAACATGGGGAGGATGAAGAACTACACAAAGGTACTGGAATCAATGACAAGATTCGAGAATTGAAATAAGGGTAGGAGACTGAGTAATGACAAGAGATTGGAAAGTGGGATTCTTGAAAACATGATTATGGAAATAATACAGGTACAGTTACTGATGAAGACAAGAACTAGGCTATGTACATAGAATGAGTAATTAAGGTAAGGCAAAAGATAAAATATTTGTGAAAGAGGAAGTCACAGAACTGAGACACTGGAGTATGGAAAGAAATCATCTGAGATGAATATGGAAATCACCAAGAATAACAGGAAGTTAGGTGCTAAAAGTATGAAAGTATTAGAAAGATCATCGTATGGCCAAAACACAAAAAAATGGTAAAGTGACTTGCTCAGGTTATGTAGCTAGTAACTGACAGAACTAGAAAAGAAATATTGGCAGTCTGGTTCTATTTTGTGCTGTCAACTGACAAACCAGCAGTCCCAAACTTTGAGAAAGATCTTTAAAGTTAAAAAAAAAAGTCTAAGTCACATAACAGTAAACATACTTTTACTATCTAGTGAAGGTGAAAATATAAAACCAAAAGAGTGATTATGAATCTGGTGACCAGAATGAAACTTTCTGATACTAATCAAGAATATATATAAAATTTTTATTCAATTGTTCAATTCATAGATAGATGCTTGATGTCACATGGATATGTAAATCCCTTTCAATAATTTCTTCACCACTGAGTAAGCACTACTGGAAGAAAATGGCCTTCATTCCTCAAGTTATATTGAGCATTGGTTTATAATAATCATACAGTAGAATCTGGAGGATTCTTTCCCCTGAGGAGTTCACAGTGTGAGGCAATGATTCTCAAACTTTTTAGCTGAGGAGTACTTTACACTCTTAAAAATTACTGAGCACCCAAAGACTTATGCTTTGTGGGTAATATCTGTCAATATTGAGAATATTAAAAATAAAACAAAAAAATATAAACACAAGAATATAGAAAACATTCCATTAGCCATCAGACCAATGATCTCATCACATGTCACATGTAGCCTCTGCAAAACTATACATTTCGGAAAGAAAGAGTGAAAAAGACAAACAAAAAAAACCTTTAATATTATTGTTACTATTAAACATTTTGACTTGTGAGACTCTCTGAAAGTCTTCGTCTAAATAAACAGATTGGACAACTGCACTATTTTTGTGATATACTAATTTCAGTTGTTAGAGGTAGGCGGCATTCCAGGTGAAGAACATCTGGTATTAAATATTCCACTTTCTAGTTTAACAGGAGAGAAAGAGGGGGAAATAAAATATTTTTTGAGGCCTAAAAAAAACAGTAAGTGGATTCACATTTGATTTCAGGCACCAAGTGAGGCACTGTAACCTGACAAGAGCCAATAAAATAAGAAAAAGGGTAATATCCCTAGTAAGAGAGATGAGTAAATTGCTTACAGCCCAAAACTAGAAGTAGTGAGGCAATGACTGGAACCCAGGCCATATTGACCCCCAAACCTACATTCTTTCCACAGAAACTCTGAATTCAACAGACTAATAAAAATGGAGATGATCCTGAATTTTCCAATATGCTTTTCTTCTCCTCTGTATTTTTGTTCTTTCTTTCTCAGGTTAGATAACATTTCCAAGCATGAGAAAGATCATCAAATTGATTAGTGATAGTGATAATGTCTCCTCCTAGCTTATGGTTGATTTCTTCTCCTTAGACCAGGAGTTTTCAAAGTATAGTCCCTGAGTCTATGCAATAATGAAATCTGGCCAAGATAGCCAAATGAATTAGTCACTAATGAGAAAACACGATTATGTTACATCAGCTGATGTTACCTGATGGGAAAAGAAGAGAAGAAAGTCAGTGTATTAGTCTGTTCTAGCTACTGTATTAGTTCATTCTCACGCTACTAATAAAGACATACCTGAGACTGGGTAATTTATAAAGGAAAGAGGTTTAATAGACACACAGTTCCACATGGCTCTCAGAAAACTTACAGTCATGGCAGAAGGGGAAGCAAACATATCCGTCTTCACATGGTAGCAGAAGGGTTGAGCAAAGTTGGACAAAAGCCTCTTATAAAACCATCAGATCCTGTGAGAACTCACTCACTAACATGAGAACACCATGGAAGTAACTGCCCCCATGATTCAATTACCTTCCACCGGGTCAGTCCCACAACATGTGGGTATTATAGGAACTAAATTCAACATGAGATTTGGGTGGGGACACTGCCAACCTGTATCACGGCTTATACATGACTTGGATACACAATTATTACGTTCCCTAAGTTGTAACAAGAGATGCATCCCACGACCATCTATATCAGTGCCAACCCCCAACCCTAGTAAAAAAAGCTTCCACACTCACCTTCTTTATCAGTAACTGACCAGGAATACTTCTGAAAAGGCTTACTAGATGGAAGGGGGTCCATCTCCAGCACTTTATAAATCTGGCCAAAGGCTGATAGTCTGAGTGCATGCTAAAGAACAAAGCATTATATTTAATCACATTTCAATAGCCATTCATAAAGCCCTTAGAACATCTAACTAAAAAGATACTCATAAATTTTGACATTGTAACAGCAGAAGTCCCTAACAACACACAAGAAAAAAAGTGTTGGAACACAATAATTGAGAAAATCAGGTTACATTCTCTTGCTAGGAAGTCAGAGTAATATGTTCAATCTTCTACCTGGGCACTGTGGGTAATATCTTCTTTTTGCTGGATGGTCATATAGCTCAGAGCATCTGTTGGGTCTCTCTCACAAGGATCATGAAGACCAGGACCTCCTTTGGCAAAGGAAAAACACAAGTATCATTTAGAACTGAGTTTAGAATTTGGTAAACTAAAACAAAAAGAGATGGTTGGGGAGAATGAAGAGAAAATAAAAAATAACTGAGGAACTAAGTTAAAAGTCTGCTCAGTTAAGTGGAGTAAAAAGGACACACTCTTATTTTCAACATGTTAGCACTTACATGTCCTTATTTTATACTAGAAGTCACTTGTATATCATCTAAGGCCAAAACTGAGTCTTACTCTGAGAATTTAGAAACAGCACAATGAATCAGCCCAAATCTTAAAAGGGATTACATATGGAAAATAAAACCAAATTTAATTTTTCCAAATTTAAAACCAGACTACAAACAGAATGAACTTTAAAAATTTTAACTAAACACCTGTCATTTCAAATTCAGAGTTCGAGGTAAAGCAAATTCAAAACAGACACAATATATTATTAGTGCCCTTTATGTTAGTACATATAAAACACAAATTATAACTATTGAAAAAGAGTTTTATGGCACTTTTCCAACACGCATTCTAGTTGTCAAAATTCCAAGCAAAAGAATTCCTATGCATCATTCTCCTTTGTAGAGGACAAACTTAGCATGTTATTTAGAAAAATAAACTAAAATGAGAGTTGCTGATCGTTCTGCTTCCAGAGTTTGAAACCCTTACCAGGAAGTAGTATTCCAGATGCCAAACACTCCATTACTCGTCTCAAGGCCTCCCCAGCGCCCAAAGGTCTATTACAAGTACCTATAGACTTTTCACATATAAGTTCTAGTGGCTAGAAGATATTAAATTACAAATTAGTACATGCACCAAGTGTTAAAAGGATTCCAGTTAAATGTGAGCTAACATTTCTATCTACAAGGGAGGCCAAAAAGTGAAACTCAATTTAACATTTAGGGCCCACTTAACATTTTCCCCATGATTATCAACTTTTACCCTGGGTGGAGTTTTTAAACCAAGCATTTAAGATAGTATTTTGAGAAAACATATTTATAACAAAAACTTTATATTTATTTACCCAAGAAGAATCACTAAAGAAACTATGGTCTAATTCATTTAACAAAGATTTAATAAGCCTTCACATAAGTTAGTAACACCTAATAACTAACCAGTGTACAAAACCCAGCTCACCTATCTCCCACTTAGGAAGCACACAAACCACAAATATTTCAAAAATAAGACTTCATTTCAGACAGCCTGCTTCAAAAGTATGACAGTTAGAATAAATAAAGGACCAAATCTTCATGTTCAATAAACTAAGAACTCACAATATTTTGTCAAAGTAATAATCGCTACATTCATTTATAAAATCACCTTTCATGGCTTTATTTAGATTGTTTTATAATGTCCTTAAGTTGTCTTGATTGGAGCAGGTATAAAAATTTCCAAGTCAATTTTCACACACACACACACACACACACACACACACAATAAATGATATCCATACAGGGTTAAGTGTACTGCTTGCCTGACTTTTAATTATTAACATGAACTTAAATGTCTCCACTCAAAGAGAAAGCTACAGTGGTATAGGATCCTTATACTGGCCTATTGGGTAATTTTCACTGTAATGTAAGGGGGCACCTAAAGAGAAATGGGTCAGCCAAGGAGGCTTTTGCGAGCAGCAGGTGAGCAATAAGTGATTAACCGCCAGTACACAGTCAAGTGTAAGGACCACTCACTTCTAAAAGGTATAAAACCTTTTTGTCAGAAAAAAAAATTTCACACTCTGTCACATGAATACGATAAGGTAGAAGATACTGGTTATATGCACAAAAGAATTCATTTAAAAAGATGCTTTATTTTTTTGCATGGCAAACATAGGTAACACATGCCTTAGCTAACTTAGGAGATAGCCATTTTAAAGTAAATCTCATTTCTATAGAATTTTCTCTGCTGCACCTTCCAAATTTGCTTTTAGCCATATTTAAGTACTTACCCATCCTTTCAGTGGTGCCCATGTGGGGACTCTGTTGCACAAATCACGCAGAATGCGGAGGACAATTACACATGATTTTAATCCATTTGCCCTTGCCTAAAACAAACAAAATGATTCCAGATATCCCTATTGAGATCTATTATTCATTTTGGGCAGGTTCTTTCAAGTGAGTACGAAGTAGCAAATTATTCATCCGTTATCAAGCAAATGACAACAATAAAAAAAAAATCAAGTAATCAAAAGTAGTAAAATTACAGTTTAAAAAGGCAGATTTAAAAAAAAAAAAAGATTTTTAAAATAAAAGGACCATAATCTTAAAATTGGTTTCACAGTCTTATGGCAACCCCGCTTCAGGCAACTACCTAATTTGACTCTTAGTTTTTCTCACTCATGTTTGATTTTTATAAGCAACCCATCTGAACTTCAGAATACTAAGCTAAAAAGAATTATATGATAATAAAACATCATGAACTATAGTAGAAGCTATACTAGGCACTTATCTAAATTAACTCAGTTATTCCAACAACCAAGGTATGAGCTAGAAAGCATCCCTCATTTTATGTAGTACACGGAAACCAGTAAGTGACAGGTGTTCCAAATGAAACTTGCACAAGGATATAATAACAATAAGATAGTAACAAAAAGCCAACCTGAAACCATTTGGCATGTCGAAGAGACGCCAAGGCGTTCAGGCATTTCTGCCTGTCCAGTAAGTCCGGAGGATCTTTCATGGAAACATTTTCTAATGGTAAAATGGGATAAAGAGAGACAGATACAATTTGACCAAGGGATTCCTATCAAATTATCAAATAAAAAGAGTAACAACATTTGAGTGAACTAATAAGACTCCCAGAAAATTTCCTGATTTGACTGTGTTGCTTTTTTAAAAAAATTATGTGCACTATGATTATTATTAAGTAAACAGTCATCAGAGTAGTTCTGCACACAAATACAATGAAGCATAAAAAATTCATTCAGTAAACAAATCATTGACAGCTGCCACTTACAATCTGGGATCTTATTAAGCATGTATAACATCACAGGGCACAAAATAAGTACATAGCACTTTTTCCTTTGGCAAGATGCAAAGAAGGGAAATCTGGGACCAATAGCAATGACAACTTTTTTAACAGAAGAAATTTGATCTCTGACTGAGAGATTCCAGGAAAACTGGAAATCTCTTATCTCTTACGTAATCAATGAGATATACTGAGAATATACTGAGGCATGACCATTTTTTTTTACACTATAAACTCATTGAATAAAGATAACCATTAACAGAAACTTTATTCCATGATTGAAAATGTAAGTATCACTTCAGAATTCCCTATTCCAAACCAAAATTATTAAAACTAAAAACATAAAGTACAGTGAACTATATTTCAAGTTTTATATGCCTTTTTTAAATAAAAAGCAAACAAAGAATACTTATTATGGCTATTCAGCTTGCCTTAACAGTAATATAACACAGCCCACAAACACTTCTTCCCAGCATTATCATGATAATAACTGATTGGATTATGGTTGTCCATTTGTCTGGGCCAAATAATACAATGTATATATTTCTAAATGGGTGACAAGAGCACTGATACTTTTTGATTTCTTCAGTTATCAGAGGATCCTATTACAGTAATCAATGTTTATTCCTTTTTTTTATGAGACAGGTTCTTCCACTGTCACCCAGGCTGGGATACACTGGCACAATCTCACTGTAACCTCCTCCTCAGGCTCAAGCGATCCTCCCACCTCAGCCTCCTGAGTAGCTGGGACTACAGGCATGTGCCCTCATGCCCAGCTAATTTTTTTATAGATACGGGATCTCAGTATGTTACCCAGGCTGGTCTCAAACTCCTGGACTCAAGCAATCTACCTGCCTTGGCCTCCCAAAGTGCTGGGACTACAGACGTGAGCCACTATGCCCAGCCAGTATTTATTCTAACTGATGAAATGTCATTAACTAAAAAAAGGCATAATGCCAATAGAAAACATATTTACTAAAGGAAAAATTGTGGTTCTCTTTACTGGCCATGACCCTGTAAAGGCTGAAGTGCTACACACTTATTTTCTGACCAGGTGAGCTCTACAGCAGTTATTTGCATTGTAACAAAATCAGAATACATGTTTCATTACTCCCTTTTACCCATAAAATTGGAAGCCTCAAAAGGATTATTACTCTGGATTTATTTATAAACAAATGCACTATGGGTATTTATTTCATAGGTGATAAAGCTCCTGGACTTGCCCAATTTTGTCTTTATAGTGATCCAAGATAGACAAGTAGCACACTTTAATGTTTTTATGTCAAAATGCTTAACTGTGGTCAATACAAGCATCTGTGTAAAGCTCACATATCACATAAAACAAAGTACTGAAAATGAATGTTTAGAATCTCTTCAGAGTTAGACATGACAAAGGTTGACTGACTGCTGAATAATGTAATCCCAATAAACAGTATGGACCATATTTTTTTAAATGTCAATTTTTAAATGAATACAATGGCAAGCTAAATTTTATTCTATCATATTACCAAGCAGGAATGTCAGGAAGAGGAAGACAATGGAAGAGGGAAATGAGGCAGAGGATAGGAAAAGGCAAGGCAAGCCAAAATTCTTCTTGTATTTTCTAATACTTTCATCCAGGGATCAGAGCTTGTAATTAGCATCTTACTCTGATTATAATACATATATTTTTAATGGGAGACAATGGCAAAAAATAATAAATTACGTCATCCCAAAGTCAAATTATAACCACAAACTCTTATTTTAGAAAACTGCAACACCGGCTTGCTACAGACAGTCAACATTTGAAGACAATAGATTCTACGAAAAAGAGATGAAAGGGACAGGCACTGAACAGAAGACCTGCACCAGATTCCCTTTTTCATCATCACCAGAATGACCATGTTTCATCATGCTCTGATAGTCAGAAAGTCAAAAGATCCAAAATGGTTTCAGTATCAGGACGTAGAAAACAGTAGAGGAGATACAATTCATCTCATTTTATCTTTTTCCAAGTTCTTAATCTTAAAACAATATAAATTCATATGGTAATATAGTGCTATTTATAAGCACAGATTATCTATTTCCTTTATATAATTAATAACAAAGTTTTTTTTATATATTTTCATTCCTTTAAAAAAAACTTCACTTAACATGGCAACTGCAAAGCTGCTGCTGGGAAAACACTGCTACTCCTGGTAGCAGAATCTTAAGTTTAATATTTCTAAACTTTTATGAAGGTGTTTAAATTTTGAGGAGGATCAAAACTTTTCTAATAACACATCTTGGAGTTCTCAATTAGCAGCAATAGAACTGTCAGTCATCTCATTTTCTCCGACAGTGACCAGTGAAACAGGTAAGAAAAAGCAAGGGGAGGCAGGGGTTGGGGGGTGACAAAAATGCCAAACGCAAAGAAATATGGCTTTTTTTGTTGTCGTTGAGACAATCTCACTCTGTTGCTCAGCTGGAGAGCAGTGCCATGATCTCGGCTCACTGCAACCTCCACATCCTGGTTCAAGCGATTCTCCTTCCTCAAGCTCCTGAGTAGCTGGGACTACAGGTGCCCACCACCATGCCTGGCTAATTTTTTGTATTTTTAGTAAAGATGGAGTTTCACTATGTTGGCCAGACTGGTCTCAAACTCTGTACCTCAGGTGATCTGCCCGCCTTGGCTTCCCAAAGTGCTGCAATTACAGGCATGGGCCACCGAGCATGGCCAGGAATACAGCTTTTAAGAAAATGTATTATTCAGTAACCTAGCATCAGGGAAGGAAGGTACATACAACATTCTGGCAATGAAAGCACTGGAAAGTCTATTATGCCTAACCATGCTCATTTGGTTAGAGGTTAAATCAGTGACCAGAATCACATCATACTGCAGGAAACGTCGGTCAGTTTCTCTCAATGCCTTACATGCAAGCTAACTATCTACCCCTGTTAACAAAACACTAGCCTGGAGATGGGGCCAGCAAACAAAACAAAACATGACGGCATTAAACAGGAGTTACACGTCTGGAACCTGGGCTCTTCAAAGTTAAAATAATTGAGCTCAGTATCATGAGGGGGCTCCTTGACAATCAGGATCAAACTGAGCTACTAAGTCTATGCTGACAGAATTTTCTAATTAGCCTAAGAATATTCTGACAGCCCCTTGTCTCTCAATTCCTTGAAACTTTATGGAGAGAAGACACGTCCCAAGCAAAAAACATGTGCACATAATAATATAAACAGGTAGGCTGGGCCCAGTGGCTCACAACTGTAATCCCAGCAGTTTGGGAGGCTGAGGCGGGTGGATCATGAGGTCAGGAGTTCAAGATCAGCCTGGCCAAGATGGTGAAACCCTGCCTCTACTAAAAATACAAAAATCAGCCAGGCATGGTGGCAAGAGCCTGTAATCCCAGCTACTCAGGAGACTGAGGCAGGGAACTGCTTGAACTCAAGAGATGAAGATTGCAGTGAGCCGAGATCATGCCACTGCACTCCAGCCTGGGTGACAGAATGAGACTCCATCTCAAAAAAAAAAAAAAAATACAGACAGACAAACACACACACACACACACACACACACACACACACACACACACAAACAGGTAAGTGTAGCAATAAGGTAAAACAGAGAAAGAACTGTTCTCCTAATTTATGTGACTAATGTCACTTGATACGACTTTTCTTCAGTGGCAGTCAGCCACTGGAAAGACAGCGCCTAAAAGTCTGCCCTGGATTGGCCAGGCGCAGTAGCTCATGACTGTTAATCCCAGAACTTTGGGAGGCCAAGGCGGGAGGATCACAAGATCAAGAGATCAAGACCATCCTGGCCAACGAAGTGAAACCCTATCTCTACTAAAAGTATAAAAATTAGCTAGGTGTGGTGGTGTGCATCTTGTAGTCCCAGCTACTCGGGAGGCTGAGGCAGGTAAATCGCTTGAATCCAGGAGGCAGAGGTTGCAGTGAGCCAAGATTGTGCCACTGCACTCCAGCCAGGCAAGAGAATGAGACTCCATCATAAAAAAACAAACAAAAAAAATAACAGTAAGTTTGCCCTGAATAATAAAGATCCAGAAGCTAGTGAAGGCAGGAAAATAAAGCCTCCTGCATCATTATACTCACAGCTGTGATGGCTATCCTGTAAAGCCTACTGCCTTGACCCTAGCAAGATATATGCTAGTGAATTTCTGCCAAGGAGACAGAGCTCACACTGGCACCAATATGAAGGGACTCTGTGAAGCCCTGAAAATCCACCCCATTACTGAGGAGAGAGGTTTGTCTTAAGTCTAAGCCACAGGGTCTCTGTAGTTTCCTTATCCGCCTGGTTTCAAACTGCATTATAAATAAGCAGATAATTTATCATCCACTTTAATAGCAAATATATTTCTAATTTAAAATCACAAGCACCAAAAGAAACTGAGACTGTGTGTGAAGCTCAGAATGACCAGATCAGCTTAACCACTTAGGCAGTAATCCTAGATAATAATGGGAAAGTAGACCACATATTAGAGGTAGAGTCAGGGGAGCTGAATAAAACGTGAGATTTTCCTCATTTACAAAACAGAGCAATTAGCTACCCCATAGGACCATGTGAGGGCTTTTAAGATAAATCATATATGAGGAAGTGCTTATCACATGGTTATAAATATATCTTAACAGAGATTAATCTCCAACATATATGTCTTGAACTATGAGATGCCCATTAATGCTTCTTACACACTGGAGAGTCCTAGTTAATCAGACAATATGATGACTCTGTTAATTCACTTAACAGATTAATAGAACTTTTAAAAAATCATCTACTATATATTAGGTACCCTTAGAGGTGCTAAGGATAAAGAACAGACAAAAAGACACCTGCCCTCAATGAATCATAAGCTATACAATATACCAGGTTTTTATTATTAGCACTGTATAAATCATTATACTGATTATAATACTACAAATCACTCAGTGATTAAGAGTTTAACTGTGCCTGAGTTGACTTCTTTGGACCTACCATGTGCACATTATTTTCACTGTTAAGAGTTTGAGTAGATGGGTTTGTGCTGTCAATCTTCAATAAGTTGACTACTACTATTTACTGAGCAACTACTATGTGCCAGTTATTGTACAAGTCACATTAAATTCTCTCAACCTCAAAACAACTTTCTAAGGTTTTTATAATTCACAATTTAAAATGAGGAAACCTACCCAAGGTCACACAGCAATAGCAACTAACAGAGTTAAGAGTCAAACCAGGCTAGGCTCAGCAGCTCACACCAGTAATCCTAGCAATGTGGGAGGCCAAAGTAGGAAAACTGCCTGAGCTCAAGAGTCTGACACCAGCCTGGGCAACATGGAAAACCTCGTCTCTACTAAGATACAAAAAATTAGCCAAGCATGGTGTCATGCGCCTATAGGCCCAGCTACTCAAAAGGCTGAGGCATGAGAATTGCTTGAACCCAGGAGGCGGAGGTTGCAGTGAGCTGAGATCATACCAGTACACTCCAGCCTGGGCAACAAAGCGAGACTGCCTCCAAAAAAAAACAAAAACAAAAACAAAAAAGCCAAACAAAAGACTGCTACACACCAAGATCTGTGCTTTTTCTCCTATGCCTTCGTTAGCAGGAAACATGTAGTAATGAGGAAATGGTTATTCTACAGGGCCTTCATGTAAGGGGTTAGAAAGCAGAAAGAAGACTGACAGCATAGGAGGAAACTTACCTATGAAACAGTTTGTAATACCAAAGAGATTCACTCTGTATTACGGCAATTTAAAATGTAAACCGTGATATGAAATGAGTAGGTAGTTAGATCCATTCTGCACAATCCTGAGGAAAAAGGTTTCATGCCCCAGTCCTCTGGTTCTGTCTGCTCCCAACCATGCTTTTTTTTTTTTCTTTTTTAGATTTTACTCAAATATGTGGCAAGTTAAGAGAGAGAAACAAAAGATGTGAGGTGTGTATGTATTGTGAACAGTTTGTTTGGGTAGGGGTAGGTGAAAGAAAGTTAAGATACTACAGGAAAATGTCTCCAAGAAAAAAGTTACAGTGGATTTTTTTTAACTTCGAGGAAAAAATGAGTATAAATTAAAAGAAAGAAAAAAGGGATAACTTTCAACCCCAGAAATTTCTGGAACCTGAATGAATCTTGTGCTTTTAACCCATGCAGTTAAGAAGAACTGCATCAAGGGGATGAGCAGCTGTCTAGTGTGAGAAAACAGAATGGTACAGCCCAGGTCTGAAATGCTCAATTATATACTAGATCCTCCAAGTTGCCCAGGAATGTGCAAGCCAGTAGCAAAGATCAAAAATTGTCTTTGACAAAACCCAGGTTAGACAAAATGAGCAAATTAGAAAAGATATCAAATGAGTCAACAGGATTGGGATGTTAAGGACAAGAGCAAAGCAAATCTTTCTGCCATTCAAAAGGAAAGGAAGTAAAACGTGTAAAACATTAGATCAAAGCCGATTCCTTCACCTTACCTGATCCCATATAATAGCTGATGAGAATCAGCTCATAGAGGTCTTTCGATCCTTTAGTAACTCAAACACCTTGAACAGAGACTATGACTCCCTTACTTTATTACAAAATCTATTCTATAATAGTATTCCAGCAAGGGTACAACATACTAAGAATGTTTTCAGCTTCTCTAAACAGAAGTTAAAGTTACAAAGGCAACAGACTAAGTTTAAAGGTATCACTGAAAGCTGTAACAAAATCTCACATAAGTACACAAAACCATAGGAATAAAGAATACTGATGTTCCCTTAATACTTTGAAAAAAGAAATTAAAGGGAGGCTGATAGATATAAGCAAACATGTAATTAACCTAGCCTTTAGCAACTTTAGTCTTTTTCTCATCTCACTATACTCAAATAATTTTTAATAATACCTATAATTACAACACTACTTAGAAATGGTTGGTTTTATACTAGAGGGTCAAGAAGAACACATCTTACCAGAATTAACATTTATGTTGACACTTCAGAAATCATTTTATAGTTCTACAGTTAATGATGAACTGTAAAGCTGTTAAAAAAATTAAGCCATTTAAGATTGGTTCTTCGGAGGTGCTAAAGATACTACATTACAGCAAAAAAAAATTTAATGCATAGGCATAAACTCCATTATAGACTGGATGCCCTCTGATTTTAAAATATGACTCATAAATATGTCTGGTTTGTATCTGCTGGATTATGATATAGCTGATTTTAGTTATCCCAAAAACATTTTTTTTAAAAAAGAGTCTAGCACTTTTATGTCATCCTATGAGTCATGTCTCTCAAAAATTAAAATTCCAATTTCACTGGTACCTTTTTCTCTACCCTTATCACTAAGTTAAAATAAATTAAGAAACTGACCAATATTTCTTGCAGCACAGGTATTTCAGATAAGGCAGTAAGCAATGGGACTTGTTGAAAGTCTAGTGACGAAAAATAGCAACAGAGAGTCTCCACTGGCCCAGAGAGGCTGTAAATTGTCATGACAGAGTGGCCAGTTGGTCAAAGGTTTGACACAGGAGAAATATCACCTGGCAAGTTTCAAGGGAAGGAGAGGCAGAAACAAGCTAACTTGACAGGATAAGAACACCAGAAAAAGCAGCACACCACAACTCCATCATGAACTTCTCAAAACTACTAATAACTGAATAGATTTCTCACTCTACTTTTATGAGGATGACATTGCCAAAGAGCAACTCTTCTTAACTTCAGAAGAAAGTTTAAAGCATGATTCTCACATAAATCATATTCAAAATGTTAACAGGGTCACAAACCCCCTAGAAAAAAATTTACTGAACATTATCCATTAAAAAAATTCAACCTTCCAATTTACATCCCTTACACTATAAAACAAATCTAGACACAGATGAGTACAAATCTTACAAGATAATATAGCTATTAGAAGTCAAGAGCAATATGATGCAAATAATTTTTTTTTTTTTTTTTTTTTTGAGGCAGAGTCTTGTTCTGTCTCCCAGGCTGGAGTGCAGCTCACTGCAACTTCCACTTCCTGGGTTCAAGCAATTCTTGTGTCTCAGCCTCCCAAGTAGATGGGATTAGAGGTACTCACCACTATGCCTGGATAATTTTTTTTGTGTTTCCCATAGAGACGGGGTTTTGCCAAGTTGGCCAGGTTGGTCTCAAACTCCTGGCCTCCAGCAACCCACCCACCACGCCCTCCCAAAGTGCTGAGATTACAGGCATGAGCCACCATGCCCAGCAAGGATGCAAGTAATTTTGGAACAATGAGCAAATTTGAAAACAATTGTGTTTTGGACCATGTTTAATCCTGAAATCTGACCATTAAGCCAAAATACACAGAATTAAGTTGGCTGATACCAATAACTTAATGCAATACTAGACAAAGTAAAACAGAATACTAAATGACATAAAAATTAAAGCAGAGTTAAAATCAACATGACAAGCACAGGTTTTTGAATTAACATTTTATATTTTGAATTCATACATTTTTGCAAAATATACTAATTATGTAGAAACAAAACCATTTAAAATACTATTAAAGAGTGGCATAAAGCGAATGAAGGTTATTTCCTAAATCCATAAAACAGTTAACAAAGCTTTTATAAAAAGAAAACAAATAACAACAGCAAATATATACATATATACGCATGTGTACCTCCATCCTTTTTCTCCAATTCGTCCCTAATTAGAGGTGAGGTAAGTATCACCTTCAAAGTTAGAGTGGGCTCTTTTGTATTCCGAATTATAATAGATGCCTCATTTACACATTGTTCCACTTGATATTTCTCTTCTGTGAGTTTCTGAAAGTCACCAAAATTTCAAAATCACCCAGTTAGTTAGACTGAAACCGCGAAAGAAAAAAAAAAAAAGAATGCCTGTACTAAGTTCTCAAATGTTATTAACTATTAATATTACTGTGCTCAAAAGGCAAAGAAAGCCTCTAACTAGTTCTTTATTGGGGATAACACTTTTCTCTCCTCCCAACTTACAAGAAGATCCTTTCTCCATTCTTTGAAAAGCAACTACAATGTCAACCATCTATGCAATTATGAAACAATATTTAAAACCATTCTAACATTTGAAAGTAAATTGCCAACAGCATCAGTATGTGATAAATGGTAAATTATTGTTCTTAAAATTATTACAGAGAAGTATTATGGTATAGAATAATAAATGGCTGGGACTGCTCTCCAAAACTGTATCTCTTTTAATACAATAGCCTAAACAGGAACTCCTACTTGCAAAAACCTTACAAATATAAGATGATGTAGCTTTTTAAAGATCACCAAATAAGTAGGAGTGAAAAAGTATCTCTGCACAGTCACTCACCAGTAGTAAACGATGAGTATAAACAAGTAACTTCCCCCCTTCTCTGACAACACGTCTCAGAGATCTTCCAATGCGACCTACCATTATGGGACAAGTCATCTGACATCTACAGGAAAATCTACATTGCTTCTTTTAACATACAACTTAAGTAGGGGCCTCCCACAAAATAATCATCTGATCAGATTTATATATTGTTATGCTTAATATATTATTATACATTAAATATAGTTACCAGGGCTTTTTTTCTTAGTAGTGAAATTTAGTATCTATTACCTGACATACAATAGCCAGGCTGAATGGAGACACTACCAGGTCCCTGCTCATCAGTATGTATTAAAAGACTTCAAAGTCACTTACATAAAAATAGCATTTTACCATTAAACAATCACAAAAAATTAGGAAAGGGAAAACTCATTATCCTACTTCTTTTTTTTTTTTTTTTTTTTTTTGACACGGAGTTTCGCCCTTGTTACCCAGGCTGGAGTGCAATGGCGCGATCTCGGCTCACTGCAACCTCCGCCTCCTGGGCTCAGGCAATTCTCCTGCCTCAGCCTCCTGAGTAGCTGGGATTACAGGCACGTGCCACCATGCCCAGCTAATTTTTTGCGCTTTTAGTAGAGACGGGGTTTCACCATGTTGACCAGGATGGTCTCGATCTCTCGACCTCGTGATCCACCCGCCTCGGCCTCCCAAAGTGCTGGGATTACAGGCTTGAGCCACCACGCCCGGCCTCATTATCCTACTTCTGAACAGAAGATGCCAAGGAAGGGAAAGGCCATACAGTAGATGAAAGAACCAGAATATAAAGAAACTGCAAAAAACAGCTCATATTCATTTTGCCACTAAAAGAGAATTAAAGATGTCTATCAAAGAATAAATCAAACTTCATTTTTCAATTATGCATGCAGATCACCATATGACACACCCAAAATAATAAACTTGACATGCATTTTGTACTAGACTAATTTTAAGTGATTTCTAGTTTTGGTCATCCTCCTCCTCCTTTGCTCAAAGAAGTACTAAAATCATCCTAGGAAAGAATATGAAGAGAAAAGGTGAAGTATAACTTCAGCTAATTAACGTACTTAGATAACTGAAAGATTTGCTATGTTAAGTGCTCAGGAAAAAGATTTTTGATCCGTAAGAAAATAATACCGTATCAGAGACTGGTTTTCCACAAACACCATGAAAACTGGGCAGGGTGGGGGCGAAGGGTGCTGGATGGGAAAGGTTTAATTGTAAAAATCACACTTAAAATAATTTCATGAATATTATTAGTAACAATACATGTGCACACACGTGTATCTATGTGGGAATGTGTGTACATGTATATAATTTAATCAGAGATTAGTGTACAATCATCATCCCTATTTTACAAGAAAATGTACCTTTACCCAAACACAGATTTATTGTTGGAGAAATCTATTGGCTGTGTTAAACTGAAAGATAGTTCTCATAATATCCACCATTAGTCTTAAGAATTCACACCTCTTTTACCTTCTCTCAGACAGCATTTCAAAGACCTAAAGATATTTATATCATTTTTAGTCTTTTCTAGCCTAAAAAGTTTCAGTCTCCAAAAATTTGAGATGATCTGTATACCCTGTACTCTCTCCAGGGTAAACCCCTTAAATACTTGCTAACTAGACAGAGCCATTTTTAAATGCAGCACTCACAAATAAAGACCCTCACTCAAGAGAGAAACAATGTGGAGTTCACACAGTTGTGATCTGCGCAGAGAAAGCTCTAACAATGACTACAGCTTGGCCCAATCTTCTGTATCTTCAAAACAGGAGAGATGTGATAGATTTCCCGAATAAGATCCCTGATTTACTATAGCACTGGTTCTCAATCACTTTTCAACAATGCAACACCTGAGGATAAGCAATATGACTATTCTCATACGAAACAAGACTCATGAAAGGAACAGAAAGGGGGTGATGTGTGTGAAAAAGCCAGTAACATGTCTGACTCTGATAATTCTAGATTTGAGAGTAACAATGTTTACTATACTAAAAGCCGAAATACAGATTAAATTCTAAAACAACATAAAAATTGAAATGAGAACTTTATTAACATTCTAATAAGCTACCAGTATGGTTAGCCAGAAAGCCGATTAATGAGCTTTCCATTTTGCAAAGCTGTATTCCACATTTAATAGATAAAGCTGTATTTCACGCTCCTTCTCCAAATGATCACAAAAGGATTTTTTTATAAAGGGGGAAAGGTAAATAAATTTAACCCTACAAAAGGCCAGAAAACATTTCTCCATCAAAATCCAAAGTGGAAAAGCCAAGTATGTTCTGTCACTTTAAAAAACATATATTAAGACATATAATAAGACAGAATGGTAAAATAGTGTCCCCAAAATTAATATAGGAGAATGTGCCAATCAGTAACATATATTTGAGCATCAAGAATGGTATCAAAAAATCAGAGATGGTTTTGAGGGTCAGTTGGTGAATACGAAGGAAAATGATCCAGAAACAAAGCTAATAAAAACAAATTTAGAATTCATACATCTTGAAAAACATACCCCTTTTAAGATATACAAATAAAAGAAAGTAATTTTTAAAAAGTGAGTGGTGGTGGGGAGCACTCAACAATTCACAAGTTTGGACCTATAGGCCAACATCTATTTCTGTGGTGTGGATATGAAGACAAACTGATATGAAAGTATCAAAAGCTGTAATCTAATTAGACCACAGACAATATGCATCTGAAACTGAATGATGATCAGGGGTTCCCAATCAGTGATGCAATTAGTCCTTGGGGTAGGCTGGCAGGGGAGGTCCTAGAATGACCAGAATCCCAGAACAGTTACCTTCATCCCTGAGGAGCCTTCTGCCTTCAGCAGCATCCTCCAAGGAACATGCAAACATCAAATTTTTCTAAATGCACCCCAGTGTAAAAAAGGTTTGGAGACAAGGAATTAATAGTGATTTCCCATTAACAGAACAAATAGGTGACAAATTAACTGAGTCTTCAGTTTTAAAATTTCCTATCTATGAAAGTCTCTAGTTGATAAGAAAGTCTCTTAGTCTCTAGAAAGTATCTCGTCTAGGCTGTTTTCAATCATCCAATTATTTTCTGCATTACACCAACCCTTCCAAGAACTTTATAATCTTGAGCCCTAGTCTAGAAAAAATGAAGATTCTCAGCAAGATGTAACAGAAAAATTTAAGATGGTACCTTAATGGCCATCTTAATTTGGTAAATAAATATATCCTGAGTATAAATCACCAGAAGTTTGTTTTAACTGTGATGAATTAGTCATTGACCCAGAGTAGTAGTAGTCATTTTGTCTGTGTTTAGCCTTGCTATTAGCAATTCTTGTTAATAAATCTTTCAAAGTCAATGCCTATTTTCACCTTTTTACAAATTCGCCTAGAGGTGCAGTTAAAATGTACTCACCTGAATCTGAATAGGAAGATTATCTTTGACTGTATTTAACAGGGTCTCTGTGGGTTTGTCTTTGCACATTAAAACCAGCTCCAAGTCCATATCATCTTTAATCAGCAAGCCTTTTGCAACCAGGCCAATCCTCATTACACCACACAATGTCCGACCACCTTGATCCCTAAAAATAAAAGTCTGCATGATTACTTTCACAACCCACTTCCCAAACCATAACTTAATCATCATTTGGCTTCCTGAATATCCTTAAGAATTGATAAGGGAGTATGTAAATCCAGACATCCAAGCATCCACAAAATTAAGTCTCAGATTTGAGACTTATAAAGTATCTATCTTCCCTCAAGGATTTAATGGGAAACATATTTCAGACTATAGATCTTTTAATTCTTTACTACACTTACATTGTTCAAGAAAATGCAAAAATACTGTATTCTCTTAAGTATTTTTTCAAATTGTTCTTTTTAAATTTCCTTCTGGCCAGGTGCAGTGGCTCATGCCTATAATCTCAACACTTTGGGAGGTAAAGGCAGGAGGATCATTTGAGCCCAGCAGTTGAAGACCAACCTGGGCAACATGGTAAGACCCTGTCACCACAAAAAATTTTTAAAAATTAGCCAAGTGTAGTAGCATGTACCTGTAGTCTCAGGCACTCAGGAAGCCAAGGAGAGAAGACTGTTTGAGCCCAGGACGTCGGGGCTGCACTGAACCATGTTTGCACCACTGCACTCCAGCCTGACTGACAGAATGAGACCCTGTCTCAAAAAATAAAATAAACTTCCTTCTGTTTTAGTAGTAATTAGGGAATTTGTGAGGGACATGAATACAATGGTATATTGAGAAAGAACATCAGTGTATAAATCTAAAATTTATAAGAATTCTACTAGTGGTGCCTGCTGACTCAGTATCCACAACAGTAAAATGACTACTGGATAGATGAGTTTCAAGTTCTTCCCAGCTGTATCATTCTAAAGTTCCTCTCATTCTATATTAGCTTATGGGGAAAGCAGAAGAATGTAGTACAGAGCCGAGGAAGGAAAGAAAAACTGCCAGCATATGCATTCCAAATCCAGGAGTAGCTAGAAGAGCAAACACTCAAAGAACATCAAGTCATGAAAGGTGCATAAGAAAAATGCTCATCTATCCTTGGTTTTAATTCTAAAGGTTTCTTAATGGTTCATTTCCCTTAATCACAAGTGAAAATATTAACTAAGCTTAGCAGTCTTTCAACAAATAAGCAAGTGTTTGAGTATGGCAAACACATTACAGGAGTTACAGTCTCTCCTGCTCCTGAGGCTTACTCTGTAGTTAAGCAACAAAAGCAGTAACAGTTTAAGCACCCAGCTTAAAAGGGGAAGAGAAAGTAACATCTGAGCACAAACGGTGTCACATATTCTCATTTAAATCTCACAACAAGCCTCCATTTGGAAGACAAGAAATGTGAACCTCGGAAAAGTTAATTGTTCAAGTTCACCAAGAAAGTAAAATGGCAAAGCCTAGTTTCAAACCAAAGTTGTTTAGAACACTACATTCAGGTCCCTGACATTATATGACTGCTTCCCAAGTTCAGGAAAGGGAGAGGTCATATTAGAGAAGTAAAGCAAGGCAAACTGAAAGTCTAACTTCAGCAGAATCTTGATCTGCCTAGATGGGAAACGGTCATTCAAGCTATAAGCAAAGAATCAGCAGAGTTGGGGAAGAATCAGCATAGTTGAGAATAAAATGGGAAGGGAGAAGGGAGGGAAACAAATTGTGGCAGGGGAAACTAGAAAGGAAATTATAAATAATACAGCCATGAGTTCAGTGCCTGGCACACTTATAAAGACTCAATAAACACTAAGTCAATGAAAAACTATAAAGGTGGTACAAGTATAGAAATAAAAAACATTTTAAAGCAAGTGACCCAAGTGTAGGCAATTGTCTGATATTAACAATAGAGAATCAGTCATCTTTGATTCCTTCTTCCTCTGTATCCTTGTCCTCTTATTTCCAAACCTAATACTATAATGGTTTATAAATTCTCCCTCCATAATCGCGATCAAACTATTGCCTGCAAATCAGTTTCTTCAGGCTTTTATTACCTCTCATGTAGACCACCTCAGTAACCTCCTCCTCACTAGCTTTTCTGACTGACCTCTGTCATCTCCAAAGTACTGTATCCAGCAACCAGAATAATCTTCCAAAGATGCTGATTGTATAACACTCTACCTACTATTTCCTCGATGTCCGACTGAACACCTGGACACTTACCATATTGGGAGGCAATTTAGAAAGCAGCATCGCTTCCTGGTTCAAATCCTGGCTCTGCTACTTACTCTGTGACACTGGACAAATTTCAAATAACTTGACTTCTTTTAAGCCTGCTTCCTCATTTGTAAAACAGGAATAATGCCTTTCTCACAGAGTGGTACTGAGAATACATTTAATACAAGTAATAAACTTTGGTCAGAGCCCAACAGATATTAATAGCTCAATAAACAAGTTATTATTCCTTAAACATTTATTATACTTTCTCATACCTATATTGTTGCTGAAATTTATTTTTTTCTTTCACTTTCACCACCTGCCAAAACCCTACCCATCCATCCGCTGAGCCTGTTCCAAGTGCTACCTCCTCGATAAAGCTTTTTCAGACTCCCAGAACCAGCACATCATCTTTGTCTGCTCTGTACTTTCACATTTTATTCACAGGACATTGAAGCATAGATGCTAAAAAAACTGGATCTGGAGTCAGAGAAATTTCAATATGAATCCTGGCTCAACCACACATATTTACTAAGTGGCCTTAAGCAAGTTAAAGTTTATGAATGATTCAGAGTCACTCTTTCTCATAAGCAAGTTTGGAGTACAGGAAATTTCACAAGTAAAACAGAAGTGGAGAAAAGCAGACAATAATATAGACTAGCAGATTTGTTGTAAGATACCAGAAAAAATACTGTGGTACAATAGTTGGCACTCAATAAATAGTAGCTATTATTAGCTCAGTTATTAAATTCTAAATCATAATTATGATATACTTGGTCTTATCAGCCTACAGGTAGAAGATAGCATGATTGCTGGGCGCGGTGGCGCAAGCCTGTAATCCCAGCACTTTGGGAGGCAGAGGCGGGTGGATCACGAGGTCAAGAGATCGAGACCATCCTGGTCAACATGGTGAAACCCCGTCTCTACTAAAAATACTAAAAATTAGCTGGGCATGGTGGCGGGTGCCTGTAATCCCAGCTACTCAGGAGGCTGAGGCAGGAGAATTGCCTGAACCCAGGAGGCGGAGGTTGCAGTGAGCCGAGATCGCGCCATTGCACTCCAGCCTGGGCAACAAGAGCGAAACTCCGTCTCAAAAAAAAAAAAAAAAAAAAAAAAAAAAAAAAAAAGAAGAAGAAGATAGCATGATTGAGCAGAAAATGAATTCCTAATTCAAACAATCATGAATTTGAATTACAAAACTGGAAGATGACAGTTATTGTAAAGCAAGCAACCCAATGTATTTGAATTTACTACATGTGAATTACTTAAAATTAAAAACAGAATTCTAACATTCCTAATAATACAAATTGTGGGACTTTGTATAAGTTATTTGACTTTTGAATCAGTTTTTTAAAAGGTAAAGTATTAAGTTAAAATAAGAGAACATAGGTAAAAGCTGCCTAACAGTGCCTGGCAATAGAAAACACTTAATTGCTTAATAAATACAAGCTACCCCCAACCCATTTCTGTGTCCTTCAGAGTGCTTAACACTCACCAGGCACACAACATATGTCCATTACCAGAACACAACTGGCCTTGGAAGACATGCCTGCCTCTGATGTAAGAAGAGAATCATTCTGTACTCCTTGAGTCCCACTATATGGGAAGGATCATAGGCAAGGGCTCAACCAGAAACTGTTCCACAAAATGGAAAGACTGTATATAAACAACCAAGAGCATCCACACCAGAACCATATTTAAAAATCCAGGCCCGGCATTGTGGCTCATGTCTGTAATCCCAGCACTCTGGGAGGCCAAGGCAGGAGGACTGCTTGAGGCCAGGAGTTTGAGACCAGACTGGGCAATGTGGCAAGACTCTGTGTCTCAAAAAAAAATTTTTTTTAATTAGCCAGGCATGGTGGTACACACCCATAGTCCTAGTTATTCAGGGGGCTAATGTAGCCCAGGATCACTGGAGCCCAGGAGTTCAAGGCTACAATAAGCTATGATCACACCCCTACACTCCAGCCTGGGCAACAGAGCACGCTTTCTCTAAAAAAAAATAAAAATAAAAATAAAACTTCAAACAAAAGTATGGAGCATATTATCCTGTAAAAGTCTTTAAATCACAGACCTCATCCAGTTAAGCAACTCTATAGGAGTGTTTTCCAAAACATTCCAGGCTTGAGAAGAAACAAAATTAGAAATTGTATTAAAAAGAAAATTTCACTGAAATATATACTTTAAACAAAAATAGCAAATCTTATATTACATATTTTACCATAATAAAAAAAGTTTTTAACATGACATAAACATGTAACAAAGTGCAATTTAAATCTGGAATACATGACTATTTAAGTTGCAGAAGAGCTGAGATACACACAGAACTAAATAATTAGATATTACTAATGAACATGAACTCCAAATCTAACAGTAACATTAGTACAGACATCATATATGACAACAATTACATGTCCGAGAACCTTCAAACTGACAAGACTATGACCAGACACAATGTATAAACTGCCTGTAAATAGCTAAAAAATTATTACACTCTTCAGCAATAAAACTGATTATCTTTCACCTGAAGATAAAAAAAGTTTATACTATCTTTCAGTGAAGAAAATCAATTTATCAATACTTTCCTACTGTTATTTATCTACTTACCACATTAATTTAAAAGTTAAAAGCTGAAGAAAAAATTCTGTAACCTCTTCCGTTTGCAAATTGTAGCCAAAGCAATGTTTTTAAATTTATTAATATAGTACAGTCAAACGAGCTCCATCTTTCAAATTTAGACACTTAATCCAATCACAGTGACAAATGCTCAAAACAATAACTTTAAGTTTAGCCTTGCATAAAAAGGTTAGTGATCTAACTCCAGGTACCATTTCAGTTTCACTAACCTATTACTGTCACAGCACTCAGAATATTCTACTATAACTGTTAAAGGGTATGGTTCCCATTAGACCTTTATCCAATCCACAAATATAAAATGAGCAATTACAGTATGCAGGAAACTGCTAAATTCCTGGGAATCGATGAAAATAGTACAGTCAAAAATACCATACAAGGATTTTTAAATGCCTTACAAAAATGATATTTTATGATCTCCCCAGAGACCAAAACACTATTTATTTCAAAATTTAGGAGGCTGAATCAACAAAGTAAAAAGATCATTAAAGGGCTTGGTGTTTTCTCAAAAGGGATCCTAAACAGGTCCATTATCTTTCTCTAGCTCTAATCTTTACTCTTTTCAAGGTTTCCTTTCAAATTTAACTCAGAAAATCTCCACATAACATTTACTTCCTTGGATATAGTCTCATATATGCATAAGACAAAATCCAAAAAACAATGTAACACAAACTCAATCCAGCAGGACCTTAGAGCTTTGCTGTGCACGTAGCACAGCAACCCAGAGGTCAGTCCACACTCACTTGGAATAGTTTTCTCCGGCCTCATCTTTCTTCACTTCTGTCTCACCCTCTGTTTTTGTGCCTTTATTTGTTTCATCCAACCAATCCGAGACATGTTTAAGAGCACATTCAACAGTAGATACCATATTCTGAACAGCTTCAAGTTCCTCCGGAGATGGATAGATTGTTGAATGTTTCACCATAACATGGCGATCATCATTAGCAAAAGATCGAATAGATCTCTGTTAGAAGAAGAATGAAAACAATGACTTCAACACAAGAAATACCACCTAAAAAGGATGATATACAAATATATCTTTAGCCAACCCACAGCACTGATTGTCTACTGTGAAACAGTTAATACTGAAACAACAACAAAAAAAAACGCTCAAGAGTAGGAAGTAAAACCCCATTCTGTTGAACTCTTCACCAGAAAACAAGAGATCTTTCATTCATGTTTTGGTAAGGTTCACCTTGGTCACTCTTGGCATTATTTATAATGTTATATCTTGGCCAGGCACGGTAGCACATGCCTGTAATTCCAGCACTTTGGGAGGCTGAGGTGGGCAGATCACTTGAGGTCAGGAGTTTGAGACCAGCCTGGCTGACATGGTAAAACCCCATCTCTACCAAAAATGCAAAAATTAGCCGGGTGTCATGGCATGCACCTGTAGTCCCAGCAACTGAGGAGGCTGAGGCAGCAGAATCACTTGAACCCAGGAGACAGAGGTGGCAGTGAGCCGAGATCACACCACTGCATCCCAGCCTGGGTGACAGTGGACTCCGTCTCTAAATAAACAAATGAATACAGTTATCTTTTAGCTGAATCTACACATTCTGAATACTACTTCAAAAAATGTCATCCACATCATGCATCATCTGCAAGAATCATACTTCTTAGCTTCCAGAGAGTCCCAGAAACGCAGGATTGTGAGTGACTCATAAACTGTCAAAGACTTCTAACCTTTCCAAACTACCCAAGATTTCTAACCTTAAAAAACTGAGATTTCAGGGCTGGGCATGGTGGCTCATGCTTACAATCCAGCACTTTGGGAAGCTGAGGTGGGAGGATTGCTGGAGGCCAGAAGTTGGGAGACCAGCCTGGGTAATACAGCAAGATCCAATCTCCCCAAAAAAAAAAAAAAAAAATTAGCTGGGCATGGTAGCGTGCACCTGTAGTCTTAGCTACTCAGGAGACTGATGCAGGAGGATCCTTAGAGCCCAGGAGTTCAAGGTTAAGTAAGCTACCATTGTGTCACTGCACTTCAACCTGGGCAACAGAATAAGACCCAGGTCTCTATTTAAATTTTAGAATTTGAGATTTCATAATACAGAATAATACAAAATAAAAAGTTATCTGTGAACACCATTAAGAAAACTATTAAAAACATTGCAATAGTGTTAACTATTTGACATTCAAACCTTTGGTGCAAGGCTTTAATTTTTTAAATAGATTAGTAGGAGACATTCCAAATACAGAGTGGGAAAAATTCACACTGTAAAATGAATCAAGCTAATTGACAAATATGTTCTCAATCAAAATCTCCTCAGGGTTAATTTACTTAAATCTCAACAAAAATCATTTTAAAGCTCATTTGGGAAAAAAAAAAAATCAATGAGAGTATCAAGAAATACTCTATAAAGATGGATGGGTGGTACCATTAACTAAAATGAAGTATCAACAGTGGAACAGACCAGCACCCAGAAAATGAATGAATTTCAAGAAAATTTAACAGAGTAGATCCTATACACTCATGAGTCACACATGAGTCATGATCCTATACACTCTGGAGTCCAAAAACCTTCAAATTTTTCCAAATTTACAAGTATCACAAGGACACTTGTACCAGTACATAGCAAAATGAACAAGAATAACTTAGTGAGTTTTCCATAAAGCCTAAAATATTCCATTTAAAAGCTGGTTATACTGTCTTTACTTACATGAAATTACGTGTTAGTACATGGTAAATATTTTGAAGTCCATCGCAAACTAAAACATTCTCAATTCTTTATGAACAGTCTTGCCTCTTTTTCTTGTTTGAATATCTATGTTTAAAAATCATATTTTTTTGGATAACAGTAAATTAACACTATAGTGTCAATGTCCTCTATAAAGCAAAGAAAACTTTAGTTGAAAAGGTAATGATGTGAAAACCTCAATCATTATATAAATATAGGCTAAAACAGATTCTAAAACCTTCTTTTTCTAAATAAAAATCACCTGTCTAGATTTCTTTCTTGCTCAACATCCACAACCAGTTTTCCAACTGGAGCGGTTTGCCATAAAGAAACAAATGTTTTTAAGCACTTCGTGAGATTTGTTCATATATCCCAAAATAAGTACTAGAAAACAAAAGAGCTGAAAAGTTGGAGATGCTAGGTTGTTTGCTAGGCTTATGTACTTGCTAAATTACCCAGTCCTGCACACTGACCACACCTGAGCAAAACTACATATTGCTACATTACATAAACATTTGTCACTTACCGCACAAATAATACAGACTGCCAATGTTAAATTCAAAAATGTTACATCTAACATTCTACTGGATGTGACAGGATAAGCATTATGAAACAAGAGTGACAGGAAAAATTGAAGAAATAGGTATAACCAAAAATAGAGAGAAATCTTATTTACTCAAATAAGCTCCAAACAGATTTTCTTTAAGTATTAAAAAAACAAATTAGACTCAGTGCTCATGCCTGTAATGCCAGCACTTTGCAAGGCTGAGTCCAAGGCTGGCGGATCATCAGAGGTCAAGCAGTTCAAGACCAGCCTGGCCAACATGGTGAAATCCCGTCTCTCCTAAAAATACAAAAATTAGACAAGTGTGGTGGTGTGTGCCTGTAGTCCCAGCTACTTGGGATGCTGAGGCAGGAGAATCACTTGAACCCAGGAGGTGGAGGTTGCAGTGAACCAAGATAGTGACACTGCACTCCAGCCTGGGCAACAGAGCAAGACTCTGTTTCAAAAATAAGGGCCAAGCACAGTGGCTGACACCTGTAATCCCAACACTTTGGGAGGCTCAGGTGGGCAGATCACAAGGTCAGGAATTCAAGATGACCAGCCTGACCAACATGGTGAAATCCTGTCTCTACTAAACGTACAAAAAAATTAGCCAGGTGTGGTGGCACATGCCTGTAATCCCAGCTACAAAACAGGCTCAGGCAGGAGAACTGCTTGAACCCGGGAGGCAGAGGTTACAGTGAGTCAAGATAGCACCACTACACTCTAGTCGGGGCGACACAGCGAGACTCCATCTTAAGTAAGTAAGTAAATAAATAAATAAATAAATCTGAAGAACTAGGCAGAAAGAGAAAATTCTCATTGCAATTGAAGATCTAAAGACCAAGTAACAAGAGAAACTGGAAAATATTCATCAATTAAATTATATAAAAGCATAAAATTTATACACCAGAAACTCTAAGCTGAATTTTAAAAGAATAAACTAAGGAAGACATCTTCATCCACTTTGATAAATAATAAAGCATTTCTTTTAGTCATAAGAACATGGAGACTATAAAAAATGAGCACAATCAGAGGCAAATAATTCACATGGTAAGATACAAAAGAATCAGTGTGGTTTTTTCACATTTCACCACCTAGCTAAAATGACAGGGAAAATCCCAAGTTAACATTTGTTCCTACCATCTAGATCTAAAATATTAGAATTTCTTCTCTAAGGAGCCAGCTGATTAAGTTATAATCCTTGGCACAAATATCTTAAAAGCAAGTAACATTTAAAGAAATACCAACAGGCTGGACACAGTACCTCATGCCTATGATTCCCAGCACTCTGAGAGGCTAAGGCAGCAGCAGGATTGCTTGAGCCCAGGAGTTCCAGATCAGCCTGGGCAACAAAGCAAAACCCTACCTCTACAAAAATTTAAAAACTTGCCAGATGTGGTGGCATGCGCCTATAGGCCCAGCTACCTGGGAGGCTCAAGCAGGAAGATCCTTTGAACCCAGGAATCGGAGTTTCCAGTGACCTATAATCATGTCACTGCGCTCCAGCCTGGGTGGCAGAGAAGACCCTGTCTCAACAACAACAAAAAAATCATAACACATCACCACCATCAGACTTGCTAAACAATATATTCCAGCCGGGCGCGGTGGCTCACGCCTGTGATTTCAGCACTTTGGAAGGCCGAGGCGGGTGGATCACAAGGTCAAGAGATCGAGACCATCCTGGTCAACATGGTGAAGTCCCGTCTCTACTAAAAATACAAAAAAATTAGCTGGGCATGGTGGCGCGTGCCTGTAATCCCAGCTACTCAGGAGGCTGAGGCAGGAGAATTGCCTGAACCCAGGAGGTGGAGGTTGCGGTGAGCCGAGATCACACCATTGCACTCCAGCCTGGGTTACAAGAGCAAAACTCCATCTCAAAAAAAAAAAAACCAAAAAACAAAACAACAACAAAAGCAATATATTCCAAACATACTGGGCTTTTTCTCTCATTTGTAATGTGTTTTTAAAACCTTGGCCAGCACAGTGGCTCATGCCTATAATCCCAGCAATTTGAGAGGCTGAGGCAGGTGCATCACCTGAGGTCAGGAGATCGAGACCAGCCTGACCAACATGGCAAAACCCTGTCTCTACTAAAAATACAAAAAAATGAACCAGGCATGATGGTAGGCACCTGTTATCCCAGCTACTCAGGAGGCTGAGGCAGGGAGACTCGCTTGCAGTGAGGCAAGGTGGCAATGAGCTGAGATCATGCCATTGTACTCCAGCCTGGGTGACAGGGGAAGACTTTGTCTTAAAAAAAAAAAGAAATGAAATGAAACCTTTTATTGCTTATACTTAGGAGAAAACCTCACACAACACCCTCCAGAACTAATAATACTAAAGGAGAAAAAATCCACACATTTTACCAATTAAAAGCCTAGGCACCAAAGATTATGACTTAATCTAACATCACGAATTCTATTTAAGTCTGACCTCTTCACAAAAAGCAAGGTTTCTTTGATTCTCATTTCAGTGTCCCTACTATACTCAGCACTTGACCCTATTATTTGAAAAATACGCGAAAGAGGTGACTTTTTCAGTTAAACATTTACACATTTTATAAACTTCAACATCATTCCTATTACTAATTAAAGGACTGATTCAGAATTAATTTCCATGAGAAAAAAAAACTGAACTTAAAGTAAAAAAACCTAGCTATTTGTATCAGTTAGCTAACGCCAGTTTTATTAGAAAATATTATTTATGAGCATTCCCTCCTTTGTTTTGATAATTCATGGCCTACAGGCTCATGGGGCCCTACCTTGTGGTTTATAGGGCTTATAATAAATCTGAATTCAGTTGCTTTGCTTAAATAGTAGAGTGCCATCTTTATCTAAAACACTAAAGCAAAAAATTTACACCATTGTTTTTCATTTGCCCTCACTGTTAACATTTCCAATTTTAAATTACTGGAGTCTTTTGTAAATAAATTATGAAAATGTCCACAATAACTTACCATGGTTTTCTATAGTATTTCAGCTTCTTTTTCCGATCCTTTCCCCTCTTTCTTGTCGTCTTCACTAGACACTGTTTTGTGTAACAATACCTCCTCATAAGCCTGAGTCCCCTGACAGCTAAGTGTCAATATAGCAAATATGTTTGAAGACTTGTTCTCTGGAACAAACCTGCAAGAGAAGAGGAAAATAACTTCAAAAATGCTTATTTACTATTAGCTTCCAATCTGAGTGTGTAGCCCATAAACACGTTCTTGATTAAAAACTTAAACTCAAAGAGGAAAATTTTCTCAGTTCAAACAAAAATCTAACATATTTCTTTGAAGGCCTGGGCCCAAGAGCCTAGGAGATATGGCCAGAAAACTAAGCCTCCTGGTAGCTACAATGTGGCAGCTGGCTGACTTGCACTCAGTGAGATAAATACATTTGCAAAGAGACTCAGTCAAGAAGCATAACCTGAAAGAGTAATACTACTACTAGCGGCAAAATGTTGCAATTAATCATCAGGTTTTCAACTAGAAATTGGCATTAGTCAGACCCATGTGAAAATTCAGTAAAGACACCTGAAAATATAACAATATCAATGAATGTTCCATGATGCTTTTACATTTGATACTGCCATTAAAAAGTACATGCTGGCATAATGATGTTCTTTAATTTTTTTTTTTTGGCCTAAAATTCAGATTTTTTTTTTTTTTTGCTTTATCCTTAACTCCCAAAAGACCCTATTTATCCCTGTGCCTGTATGCACTGCTACGCCAGACTCCTGAATATTCACTAAATCCTGACTTCATTACCCCTAGACGTCCCTCACTAAAATTCCACAGTATGTTTCTATCCAGAGGCCAATCATTGTTACCTATTTTGTTCCACCTTTATGAGATTTTATTCCAGAGTAAAAGTAAACTTTTCTGAGCATTGATTAAATACTTAGAAACCCAGCTACAAGAAAAAGAGAAAAAAAAATTTTTTTAAGAAGAGCTAACATCAAAATACAGCACACACTTTACGTGACAAGAGGACATAATTTACATACTACATATCTTATAAACTCACAAAGAAAATAACTTTCTCTTCACCTAAATATCTTTCCTTTAAATCAAATTTCCTTTAATAAGGAAACACCCTCACTACTGTCAATAACAGTTCTTAATATTATCAGTTATGCCAAGTAAGGTGACTCATGCTTGTAATCCCAGTGCTTTGGGAGGCCAAGACAGGAGGATGGCTTAAAGCCAGAAGTTTGAGACAAGACTAGGCAACAAAGCAAGACCTATCTCTTTAAAAATACTACTACCACTACTACTATTTAATAGAACAAGTTCTAATAAATTTTACTTACTTTATGATTACTTGTATCACATTAAGGAAGAAATGCACAAGTGCTACAATTCATGGGATCTTTTTGGACAACCAAAAAACAGGGATTCAAGTACGCTCCCACAGCAAGAGGTATCTCAAAAATGCTCTGGTCACTAAAATTATACCTTCCAAAGACCTTACTATATAAGTAAAGTCTTCAGCATCTCCCATTCCCAACCCTATTCCATTCTAAGGGACTCAACTATTTACTACTTAGCTGTGAATCCAGCAGCCAAAAAGCATTGCTATGTGTTCAGTCAATAACTGAAACAAAGTACACAAGCTTTCTTTGTATAAGTGAAGCCAGTTCATGACCAGCCTGGCCAATATGGTGAAAGCCTGTCTCTACTAAAAATAAAAAGCAGGATGTGGTGGTGGGTCCCTGTAATCCCAGCTACTTGGGAGGCTGAGGCAGGAGAATCGCTTGAACCCAGGAGGTGAAGGTTACAGGGAGCCGAGATCACTGGAATGCCACTGCACTCCAACCTGGGTGACAAAGCGAGACACCGTCTTTAAAAAAAAAAAAAAAAAAAAGTGGTGCCAGCCAGGCACAGTGGCTCATGCCTGTAATCCCAGCACTTTGAAAGCCTGCGGCTAGGAGGATCACTGGAGCCTAGGAGTTGAAGACAAGCCTGGGCAACACAGTGAAGCTCCATCTCTACCAAAATAAATTAGGTGGGCATAGTAGCACATGCCTGTAGTGCCAGCTGCTCAGGAGGCTGAGGTGGGGGGATCACTTGAACCCAGTAGGGTGAGGTTTCAGTAAGCCATGAACAATACACCACTGCACTCCAGCCTGAGTAACAGAGCAAGACCCTGTCTTAAAATAATTGAATAGACTGAAGGCAGAAAAAGAAGGAACAATGCTATGAGACAGCTTCAGATGCTGTGAGGAAATCATGGATCACCAATATAAAAAGTACAGCACTCTGCAGTCGTTTAGCATGGAGGGTAACTACCCTACCATCAAGAACCTCTGGGAACTTCAGAGTATGATAGCATAGTGTAATAACTCATGAAAAACAACAACAGCTCTATCTCTCTTCACTATATATTCTATTGGTGTTAAAAAACAAACTTAAAAATCATCTGACCAACTCTACCCTCATTTTACAAACGAAACAGAATAAAATATTTAAGGTTATATAGCAAAGTAAGGACAAGATATGATTTGGAACCTAAATTATAGACCAGTGCTTTTTCCTATTTATCAATCTGATTGAGAAAAATCCTAATTTATAATATATCTGGTTTACTCTAAACAGATACGGAGAAACTACAATCTTTTTTGAGAGTTTTTCTTTTTTAAAAAGAAAAAAAAAAGGTGAACAGATAAAATTCTGGTCTTAAAATTTTTTAAAAAACTAACTTTGTTCGTTAATAGCTATGTGACTTTAGAAGCTATGTGACTCAGAGAGTCACTTAATTTCCTTGGGTCTCTGTTTCTTTCATTTATAAAATGAGAAATAATTCCATTATTAATTAGTGGAATTACATGTATGGAGCTCAGACTTTGTGCTTGGCCCTGTTCTGTTTCATTTATTAACTCAACCCTCCTAACAATCTCAATTACTGTCTACAATGAACACATAAGGAAACTAAAGCATAAACAGATAACATAACCTAAATAAAATTATCATAAACAGTAAGAGTCAAGATTCATATCTAGACAATCCTCTTTAATATTGTTTTAGCTCTAAAGGACTTACATTTACTTTCAGGGACAAACTTTAGCTATTGCACAAAAAAAAAAAAAAAAAAAAAAAAATCTGTATGAATTACTAGGACCATAGAGCACCCAGGCTTTGGAGTCAAGTACCAGCTTTCCCACTTCCCTTATCTGAGCCACAGTTTTCTCATCCATGCAATGGAGTGATTAGTATCTACTTCAAACTAAATAGACATGTTATACAAAAATACCTAATAATATCTTACAAATAGTATACACTCAATAAATGGCTTCAAGGGGAAAAAAAACACACCTCAAATTTCCTAATGTCAGTAGAAACAATTTCTTTATACATGAGATATATGTATGTTTCTCTGAAAAAGATTAGAAAAATATTAACTATGCTCTCCTTCATAAGAAAATATTAACTATGTACCTCCTTCCTTATGCAGAAGGTAGTATTATATATAAAGGAATGCGTGTCACTTTTTAATTGAGCACCTTTTTTCAATTAATGGATATTATTGTCTAGAGCAGCTTTAGGTTTACAGAAAGGTTGAGTGGAAAGTGGAAAGAACTCCCATATACCTCTTCTCCCCAGCACCCACCACACATAGCTTCTCCTATTATTGACATATTGCCTTAGTGTGGCACATTTATTGCCACTGATAAACCAATGATGATACATTATTATTAAGTTCATCTTTTACATTAGGGTTCACTCTTTATACTGTACATTCTACAGACTTTTACAAATGACATGCATTTACCATTACAGTATCATACAAAACAGTTTAATGGCCCTGGGAATGCCCTGTGCTATTTGACCTATTTGACCCTCCTACCTTCCCCACCCTTGGTAACCACTAATTTTTTTCTCAGTCTATAATTTTACCTTTTTCAGAAATGTCATAGAGTTAGAATTATATATCATATGCAGCCTTTTGAGACTAGCTTCACTTAGCAATATGCATTTAAGGTTTCTCCATCATTTTCATGGCTTGATAGTTCTTTTTTTCTTCTTCTTCTTTTTTCCTTTTTTGAGACGAAGTCTTGCTGTCACCAGGCTGGAACGCAGTGAGCAATCTCGGCTTACTGTAACCTCCACCTCCTGGTTCAAGCAATTCTTCTCCCTCAGCCTCCCAAGTAGCTGAGACTACAGGCACGTGGCACCACGCCCAGCTAATTTTTGTATTTTTAGTAGAGACGGGGTTTCACCACGTTGGTCAGGAAGGTCTAGATCTCCTGACCTCATGATCTACCCGCCTCGGCCTCCCAAAGTGCTGGGATTACAGGCTTGAGACACCTCACCTGGCCGACAGCTCATTTCTTTTTATTGCTGAACAACATTCTATTGTACGGATATACCATAATTTATCCATTCACCTACTGAAGGATATCTTGATTCCAAATTTTGGCAATTACGAATAAATTCTTAAAAGCATTCATGTGCAGGTTTCTGTGTAGACATAAGTTTTCCAAGTTTTTGGGTAAATCTCTAACAACTTTGCTAGCTATATTCAAACTAGGAAACTTAGGTAGATATTTAGGGATTTTTTTTTCTCCTGAAATACAATGAAGAGAATGTAAAAATGCTTTTTTTTTTTTTGAGACAGTCTCTCTCTGTGGCCAGGTGCCAGGCTGGGGTGTAGTGGCGCAACCTTAGCTCACTGCAATCTCCGCCTCCTAGGTTCAAGCAATTCTCCTGCCTCTGCCTCTGCCTCCTGAATAGCTGGGACTACAGGCGTGCACCACCACACCCGGCTAATTTTTGTATTCTAGTAGAGACAGGGTTCCACCATGTTGGCCAGGATGGCCTTGATCTCTTGACTTTGTGATCCGCCTGCCTCAGCCTCCCAAAGTGCTGGGATTATAGGCATGAGCCACCTCACCCAGCAATACTTTAAAAATCCCAAGTAATGTTTTGCAAAGTTTGTCATAGAATCCAGTAAATTTACTCTCACAACAGTAACTGAATAGAAAACCTTCAATTTTGTTAAACTAATATAGGCCACGTCTCTAAAACAAGCTATGTCAAAATAAATAGTTTTTATTTCTTTATGAAAGAAACACCACACATCTACCGTATTAAAGATGGGCAAGAAAAGGTTAGAAAAAGACACCTCACTGGCTCTCCAAG